CAAGTCCGCGTGTGGCCGTCCTCCCACAGCACGGTTTACCCACTCGCTGATACAGAGAAGCTTGCTTTACATTCTGTTGTACTATTAGGTGACTCTTCTCAGAAATGTGACTTTTCTTATTGCTCCTCGTGATATATGACGGTTGACGAGAAGCAGACTTCACAGCCTGTGTGGCATAGGCTCGCTGAAGCAGATATACCGAAGTCCGAAATCTTATAGAGGACTAAAGCGATGTTTGTTAACACGACTAATTTCAATCTGCTTTGTGACCTTTCATGACTTTGCTAACAGATGTGTTGCTGCACGGGAAACCCGCAAACTTTGCAATCTGCTCGGGTTCCACCGAGTGCTTTTCTCTTGTGAGCTATGGGGACGTCAGGCAGGTTGCTTCCATTTGCCGATCCCGTGTCCTCAGCTGTAAACGGGGGCAGCGATTAGTGCACACTTGTTACGAGTCATAAAGATTAAATGTGCAGACAGGTGGTGTCTGACGCATGGCGTACGCACACGCCATACTGTCCCCCTGGGGAGGTCACAGCTGAAAATTATGCCTAGAAAGTACCAGGCACATTGGGTGGCAAGAAGCACCCAAGAGCACTGTTCTTGCTTGTGTGGTTTCTTGTTTAAAGTGCAGTGCGAATGAACTGCTTGAATTGTACCGTTTCTTCAGCCAGGGAGGCAAACAGTCACAGGCAGACAGAGCAACCTGCCAGACCAGAGCAGATCTGAGACTGCTGACAGAGGAAGCGGCAATCGGCCTGAGAGGCCCGGACCGAAACAAAGCGTTCCTGCCAACAGGCGGATGCTGCGCAGACACACAGTCGAGGACCCGGGCGTATCCGTGAGCCCAGGCTCCGCCGGCAACCCAGGCACATCCCCAGAGGCTGATATCGCTTCCCAGTCTTAACGGTGATAGCAGTCGTTACATCGGCTGCCAAGAAGTGGGTCCTCGGCAAGGAGGGGCCCAGCGGGAACCTGGCTGAGAACGAGAAAAGGGCTTTCTGTTGGATTTGCAAGAAGAGCAGAAAGTTCCTGAAAGTTTTTCTGTGGCCGAGGGAAAGAATGCAACCGAGAAAACGATCACCGCGTCTTTCCTCTCCTAAGCTCACGCGTTCCCTGGGAAAGGAACACACACCAGTTCCAGTGGGGTCCAGATCCCTGAGAGCAGGCGAACGTTTCTGCTGAAGCAGTAGGGTTCCCTGGCTACTGGGCGAGGTTTCGGCACCAGATTCTGACCTCCTCCTAACGAAAGGTGCTAACCTCCGTGATGTGGACAAGTGAGCAAACCACAGGCTGAAAGAATTCCTCCTTCTGGGATAAGCTGCGGGGAAGCAGTTGAGGTGCCATGGTTGTGGAGGCCGGGCCAAAGCGACACGGGGGAACGGACAAGAGGACCTGGGAAACGTTCCTTTGCAAAGCAGCACTTGAACCCAAAGATGCCTACATGCCATTGTGATGTTCATTTTAGTGAAAAGGACATTTATGACCTCTACTACGCTATGTATGTGGGGAAAGTTGCGTGTGACTTTTCTTCCAACAGAGTAAGTACAGATATTTGATCACTGCACACATGCACCTGTTATCAGTGTCTCTCGAGACATCCCCGTCCGTTAAAAACCTCCCTTAGATGTCACTCCTGATGGATGGTTACTGAACTAGAGAGATTTGGCACATCTTTTCTTAGTCTTTTGATTCCGATTCAAAACTTGCAGCACAAACCAGGTCAGAGTTACTTTCAGTTAGAACTTATTGCCATTTATTCCTTTTTATAAATTTCTATAGATTATACTCTTATTTTTTTATGTTACTAATTGGTCTACAGCCGCAGATATGGGTTTGTCCTGAGCACCTACCTTTTCAAATAACTTTGTAATATGGAAATGGTTTTGTGCATGTTCTTGGAAATACTTGTGTATGTATAGAAGGGAGGGGCTGATTATTTTTCTACAAAGTAATTTATGATTTCTAATTTTCTAATGTGCCTTGGATATGTGCCAAATGATGGGAAAGAAACAGTAAACTTTATGATTCTTGAGCGTGTCATGGTGTACTTTTTTAATGTCTTGCTCTGGAGATTGGGGGGGGGGGGGGCGTTTCTCAGCCTGTCTGCTACAAACATGCGCTCGGCATATGGAACGATCATCCCCCGCTGGATGGATGTGTGTGTTTCAGTTACTAGATGTCCCTTAAATATGTAAACTGCATCATTCAGAGCAGAGCCTTATCCGTTCCCCTGCTTAGGCCTGACAATCTAGTAGGTGCAATCACGAAGGCTTTTAAATCAGAACAAAAATGAATGTAATACAGCTTTTTAGCTCAAACAGAAGTTAAGATGGTTGCTTTGCAGACTCCTTTGTCCTGATTTATTTTTCATCCTTTTCACCAGTTTTAAAACAAAACTGCCTGTATCGGCCGGTTGTTGTGGTTCACGGTCACCCTAATTAGGAAACTGTATCCTGTGCAGTTTATCAACACAGCCAAGTTGCAAATACACACATTTGGTATCACCTGATTTTTTGGGGTGGTACAATATAATCTTGAAAACTTTTAGGTCTACTCCTAGTTGATTCTAACAATTGCCCCGACTGGTAAAATTGTCAAAGGAGGAAACAGGGTCAAGAGAAGTTAATGGGGCTGATGCTTGCACTGTCAGAGTTGCGGTTGAGGCCTGCTTGGCGGGGTCATCCGAATTGGCAGTTTCCAGGGTCTCCTGGAGACATAAATACCTTGAATGAGACAGTTTTAGGGGACAAGCTGCTTCTTGAGCTACTCTGGTCATCAGAAGGGTGAGCCACCCGAAATGACCACCTCGATTTCTTTTAAAAACACGTTTTTCTCCAATTGCTTTCCCACTTTAAATTTGACAACTCAAACTGGTAATGCCCAAATTTCTGTGTAAGAATGTTTTGAATTCAAAGTATTGTCAAATTAGGAAGCTCAGAATAACCACTCCTCATTTCCGAGGCCAAAACGTACTCCACCCTCCTTTTCCACCTTCTAGAGCTTCTATCCTTCCATTCTCAAGTATCTCTGGAGAGGACAGGACGGGTTTGACCATTTAAACACATTCACATAGGCATTTGCTGTCAGGACAGTGGTTATTCTGTAGGAGGAAGCATGTTAACACAACTCGCTGAGCCTCCCTCCAGGGTTTTTATGTAAATGAGACCAAAAGCAAAGTTCACTTGTAACTGGGATTCTTTAAAATCCCCGAGCGAAACTTAACGTTTGACTGATTTTGTCCCTTTTAAAAAAAATTGACGTAACCATTCCACTCGTTCGTTTATTCAGGAATGCTAGATGCTCCCAACACTTGACTTTCTTCGTTGGCCGCGGTTCCAATTTCAAGCCTCAAAAAACTGTAACCTCTCAGATACACAGTTTAAACACAGATCAGCAGTATGCGAGCTAAAGCAGATGGGGACTGTAAAGCACTTTTCCTGCTACTAATCCTATTCACCTCTCAGAATGTTACGGACTTCCTCCTGGCCTGGAACCTCCAGAAGGTTACACCAAACAGCTCACCTGACAGGTCAATTTACTCACCCAAGTTTTATTTTATTTATTTATTTTTTTTTAAATTTTTTATTTATTTATGATAGTCACACAGAGAGAGAGAGAGAGGCAGAGACACAGGCAGAGGGAGAAGCAGGCTCCATGCACCTGGAGCCCGACGTGGGATTCGATCCCGGGTCTCCAGGATCGCGCCCTGGGCCAAAGGCAGGCGCCAAACCGCTGCGCCACCCAGGGATCCCTCACCCAAGTTTTAAAACCTAGTGGGTGGAGAGCCCAACAGAAGAGATGACAGTTAAGTTATTATCTGTGAAGAACTCAGAATATTTCTACCAAAATGTCTTAACTGCTCAACTGTCTCATCTGGACTTGATCACTAGAAGGCACTTCCTCTTACACCCACATTTGTTACCGTTGAGGTATCACCACCAGTATCTCCCAGTTAGCCTGGTAACCTCCTACAACACAAGCATCACTCTAGGTACACGGGGGATACTTGTCACATCATTTGGTCTCAGTGCCTTTGAAAAGCAGATTATAAATGAAACCAAAGCTAAGAATTTTCTTAGAATTAGGCTGAACATAAGTACTATACCTTCAGGAAGAAAAACCGTTTGCCTGGTTTCAGAACCTAGGCCTTGGAAAGATGTTAGATATTAGAGTTGATTCCTCTCAATCCATGGGTTTTAACTACCACAATATTACTGGATGCTATTTTCTTCTTAAGTGAAGAGTAAGCCGCTTCAGTTTCTGCGAAGGCCATCTTCCTAAGGCTAAGGTCACACTTGCAAAGGACGAGGTTCACGCTGCCACACTTTTTAGAACTTGGTAGGAAAAGAAAAAATTCAAAATGCAGATCTTCTGTTCATTCAGCTATGATACACAAACAACTCTGCCCAAGAGTTATTTTATTTTGCATAACAAGTTTATTTTTTTTAAAAGGCATTTAGACAATAAACAAAGTAAACAATCAGATCTCCACTTCTACCCAGTATTATCTGTCTTAGAACTGTTCCATTAAGTTCCAGTCTCTAAACATCTTAAATTTCAATAATCGTCCTCTTCATCAGAGTCCATGACTTTTCTTCTGTTGAACTGGAGGAGGGAAATTAAGTGAATGTCATAACATGTTTAATAAGGCATAACTCAGACTCTGAGAACAGCAAGGTCTACCTACTACAGCAAGACACCAGGTCTTTAAAACAGCTTAATGTTTCAGGTCTACGGGGGGAGGGGGAACGACAGATCCCCTCGGCACTTTCTCCCCGAACTTTCACAAAATGGAAATGTCTATGGGCTGAAACATGTTTTGATATAGTGTGTATTTAACACTTAAAACAGCAATCTTTTTCTTTTGCCACGAGCATTTGGGGACACTTACTTTAACTGTGGTTTTCTTTTCTGTTTGTTGGCTTACTTTTTCAAGGATTTCTATTAAACCTTGTTCTGATACCTAGGATAACCAGAAAGAAAAACAGTACTAAGAGTTTATCTCAGGAGACAATGGTTTTAATCATTCTGGGATGTGGGGGAAGAGGTCAAGAGGGAAGGAAAGGCAAGATGGGAGGGTCTAACTAGCAGTTTGTTCCACAAGAATTTCGCTCTGCGAGGCTCACTTGAGGAAAGGTAAGCACCCATCGACATTAGCTTTCTCAGGAGAGTCCAAGGTTCCCGTCGTTTAAGAACACCTCCATCACCACCAGCGGACAACCACCTACACCAACCGCTGTTAAGGGTCAGGCACAGAGACCCGTAACAGAGCGTCTGCCCCGGAGAAGCGTAAGTGCAGGAGAAGTCACTCAGAAAAGATGAAGCAGTCGTCTTGTCTCCCGTGCATGCTCAGCGTTAAGGGGTTCAGGGCAGAATGACTCCCGCAGGCTGTGGAGGCAGCAGGTGCAGGTGGGGCTCATCTGGATCTTGAAGGAAGGTCAGGCTCACCAGAAGACACGCATCACGGCGTCACAGCAGCGCACGTAATAACCAGAAATTTTAGCACCTCCTCATTTGCAAAACAAGCTTAACTTCCATCGTTGGCAGGACGTTAGTCGGTGTCACTGAGAAACCTGCCTCCAGTGCAGAAGCAATTGGATGCTGACCCTAACGGTCCCTGGTTACACGCCCATCACTCACAACACCAGGAAGGGAAGCAGCAGAGGGTTTTAGGAAAGGCAATCAGTTATCTTTTAGGATTTATGGCAGATACAACGATTCCCTCCTGTCTAAGTGCCTCACTGAAATAGTCACCAGGAATTTCTGTAACCAGAAAATGAAGCTGACCTTGTAAAGATGTTTGATAAAGTTAGGTAAGAGGTAGAACCGCCTCAAGGCAGGCCAGGCTTACCTTCCCACTGAGTTGTCCGTATCTTGCCATCTGTATGAGGTAATTCTCTACTGCTTTAGTTTTTTCAGGCTTTACAAGTGCTAAGTTACTTACTAAAAAGAGAAAGAAGGAGTCAAAACTAAATGCACTTACAGGACTTAAAACTATGCAGTGGCATTTCCAAAGCACTTCACGGAGGCGGTGGGCAGATGGTACTATTACCCCTCTTACAAAGGGGAAACTGAGGTTCAGCCGTGCCAGAGCCAAGATTAAACCTGGGTCCTCAGATTCTAAGCCAGATGCTCTTTAATTTTTTTTTTTTTTTTTTAAACGACTGCCCTCTGGAACACAGTTTCTCTAATACCACACATACGGAATCGTGATCATCCACCTCATGATGCTTCTACACTGCGCTTCAGGCTACAATACAAAATTCCTAGTTCGTCCTGATTGGCTTGTTTTACTACGTTTTCCTTCATTGGTTTGGTATTATGAAAAGTTATGAATGTACACTAAAACAGACAATAAACCCCCCCTAAGTCTCCATCCCCCACATCAACTGCCAGCAACATTTTGTGGCTGACTCGATTTAAGAGTTGTTTCTTGTAAATCTGACCTAACGTGCACTTGGAGATCATCTCCTTGGTAACAGAGAACTGACCTGGTGTTGATGATAATGATTTAAATATATTTCTTTAGATTTATAAACTTCACATTTCCTGCAGTATTATCTGCGTCGTGTTTTTAGGTTAAACCATATTTAATCCAGAATTAGCCATGATTTCATAGATCACTGCCTATTCAACTGACTCAAGTCAATGTTACAGAAACAACTTAAAGGAAACAAGATGCTTACAACGGGCCCGGGCCGACTGATCCAGGACTTGGGCTAAGATACTGTTCCTCATTTCTGCTTCCCTACAACAAAAACAGGTCAGCAAAATTAGAACTATGCTGTCAGCATTCCTACCGGACAGACAGAACTTCTCCCCGTGTTTCCCGAGACGGAAGGAAGACTGCCGTGTGCACGGACTGCCCGACAGCGGGCACTGTGCAGGTGGCAGCACCATATTCAGCAAGAGGAGTCCACCTCTGCCCTCAAAAGCCAGCTTCATTTTATGTGGGTGGGTGTAGACTAGACCTACACCTTCACAGTTCAGGGGGGAGTTTTAGTTCAACCACCATTACCAACATTTATTCAGTACACAGTGTGTGAGAAGTCCGAGAAACTTGTAGTGAGATTCCAGACAATTAAAGGACCAAAGGATTAATCTGTGTGGTACTTTTAGAGCTGAAGAAGCTGAGACCTAGGGAAGCTGTTAACAGGGACACAGGTAATCATGGCCAAGCTAGAACCAGGCCCTATGTTTCTTTTCTTCTCAAGATTTATTTATTTGAGAGAGCCGATGACAACACGTGCCCAAGTGCAGTGAGGGGCAGAGGAAGAGAAGAGAATCTTCAGACTTGGTGAGCGCAGAGCCCAGCGTGGGACTTGATCTCACAACCCATGAGATCACGACCTGAGCCAAAAGCAAAAGCTGGACGCTTAGCCAGCTGAGCCACTCAGGCTGAGCCCAAGGTTTCGGACTCTCGGTACCACTTTTCGAGTGGGCAGAGAGAGTGAAATTATAACCCTGCAACTATCCTTGCATCTTTCTACCTATTCAAGCGGGAACTAGTTCAGATTCATAGGACAGTGGTTTTCAGACTTTTATTTAAGCAGCAAAAAAATTTTTCCCCCAAATGAAGTCCTTTAGGGAACTTAATACACAACACAGACAAAAGCAGATCCCCTGGCCGATTCAGAAGAGGAGCTGGGGCTGGCTGTACCACCTAACCACCCCCTCCTGAAAAGGTCTAGGGACAGGGCTTACAGCCCATTTCCACAGGCCAATTCCTTATTGCTCCTGAGTACTTCAACCCTGCTACGAACAGCCGTTACTGTATTTTACTGAATCTAAGATGCCATCAGTTGTAAGATGCACCATAGTTTTATGTACCTCTAAGAACAAAACAAAAAATAAAAAACACCCCAGGTGAGTCTAGTAGGAGACCCTCACTCAAAGCTGGGGCATCAGAGTAACTGCCAGCGGCTCAGAAAGGGACAGCACGGACGGACGGAGGCGTCGGCCTCAGCCCTGAGTGGAAGACAAGAGTTTGAACTTCAAGCTTTAGTCTTACAGGTTTGCTGTCTCAATTTAGGCTGCTTGAGGGGAAGTGGAATCTCAGGCACAGAATTTAACTTTAAAAGGTCTCAGGTTAGAAATGTACCCAAGTGATGATGGTAGAAACAAAAATAAATCTTCTCTGGAAGAATCCAGGACAAGAGTGATGCATAGGAGACATATCCCAATCTGTGTTAAAATGCGAAAAAATGTACGCCTTGGAATCAATGAAATTCATGTAGTATTTGCATTTTCTTAGCACCACCCTCCCACTAACAAGCCATGTAAGGATGGAACCTTCTTTGCCTTGCCCATTTCTGTAGATCCAGCACAGTGCTTGCCCCAGACCTAGTGCTCAATGAATATCTGCTGAATGGGGGGCGGCTCAGTGGCTGAGCATCCGCCTCTTGGTCCTGGCTCTCTGGTCCTGGTCTCCAGGTCATGGTTTCTTGAGCCCCGCCTTGGGCTCAGAGCCCAGAGGAGAATCTGCTCAGGCCTTCTCTCCCTCCCTCTGCCCCTCCCCTCACTCACATGTGCACTCAGCCTCTAAAATAAATAAATACATATTTAAATATATATATAAATACATCTTTAAATATAAAATATATATATTGTTGCTGAATGAATGAGTTAAATGGCAACACGATGCAAAGAGGGGAACACGTGGTGGTGTTCCCTAAGTAAGTACAGAGTTTCACAGAGTTGAAAAAAGAGATGAAAAAGTTCTAAAGATTTGTTAAATAATGAGAATATAAATAACAAGCGTCACAGTTAAAAACTGTTATAAGGGCAGCCCAGGTGGCTCAGCGGTTTAGCGCTGCCTTCAGCCCAGGGTGTGACCCTCGGGTCCTGGGATCGAGTCCCGCTTCGGGTTCCCTGCATGGAGCCTGCTTCTCCCTCTGCCTGTGTCTCTGCCTCTCTATCTCACGAATAAATAAATAAAATATTCTTTAAAAATCGTTATAAAAAAAGGGGAACAAATTGTCATGAAAATTTTACGCGTTATTTTTGAAAATTACAATTAGAAAGAAGAAAAAACCCAGATAACTGGGTCTTCACGCAAAGTCTGCCATGCATGAGCTGCCCTGCCATGTGTCGGGAATAAAAGAGCGGTAAGAACAAGGTAACAGTGAATGCCTATAAAGCATAAATGTGAGGCGCAGTGCCCGTGCCCGTGTAATCCTCCCCGCGGCCCTGTGGGGCAGTCCTATTATCAGACTCATTTTAAGGTTAATCACAGTGCAGCAGAGAAGCAAACATCAATCAGCAATTGCAGTACAAGGTGAGTATGCGGAGTTCCTTACATGCACATTTCTTTTTTTTTTTTAAATTTTTTTAAATTTTTATTTATTTATGATAGTCACAGAGAGAGAGAGAGAGAGAGAGAGAGAGGCAGAGACACAGGCAGAGGGAGAAGCAGGCTCCATGCACCGGGAGCCCGACGTGGGATTCGATCCCGGGTCTCCAGGATCGCGCCCTGGGCCAAAGGCAGGCACCAAACCGCTGCGCCACCCAGGGATCCCCATGCACGTTTCTTTAATTAACAAATCATGAAAACACCATGATCATGGCGGGGGTGGGAGGGGGTGGGGGGGTGGGTGGCCTCGACGATAAAAAACCTCTACCCCAGAAAAACCTGCAAAACTCCTATGCCTATCAAAATAACTAAAAAAAAAAAAAAAAAAAAAGGGCAAACCACCCTTCAAAAAGTTCACAGCTGCAGCCCCTACCTGTGCTTTGCTTCCTGCTGGGCTGCATCACCAGGATCCTGGGGAGGGGAGAGACACACATCTTTTAGTCGAGTAATCTCACTTAAAATGAAAAGAAAAACAACAACAACAACTAGGAACCACTTTCTTGTTTCTGACACTTTCTAGGCTCCCGCAGGGGCCGAGATCAAATTTTCAAGAGATCGTGAAAAGCTGGGCCTCCCCGCAATCCGCGGGAACGGTTTCGACTCACTACCGCGTCTCGGTAAGCGTCGGACCCCGCGATCTAGCAGCAGCCGGGCCGGGGGGGGGGTCCCCGGTGCCGCGGAGCCGGGGTTCGCGGGGCCGCCGGTCCCGTCCGGCTGCAGACACCCCCGGCGGCGGCCCCGCCCCCTCCCCCCCCCAGCTCGGCTGCAGACAACCCCCGGCGGCCCCGCCCCTCCCCGCGGAGGCCCCGCCCCTCCCCCGCGGAGGCCCTCCTCCCGCGAGCCGCCCCTCGTCACCCGCCGCAGCGCTTCCCCCCCCCCCCCGGGAGGAGGCTCCTCCCCGCACCCTCCGCTCCGTCAGCGAGGATGCTCCCCGGCCCCCGCCGCGCCCCGCTCGCGCCCGGCCAGGACCCCCGAAGCCCGCAGGCGGCCCGGGTGGAAGGCGGTCGGCGCCGGGAGGCCGAGAGCCAGGGCGGCCCGGGGAGGCCGCACGCGGTCGGCCCGGCCGCCCCAACGCCCCCGCGCCCGGAGGGCCCGAGCTCCACCCGCGGCGGCGGCGGCGGCGGCGGCGGGCGCGCTCACCCCGTGCTTCGCCTGCAGCTCGGCCAGCCTCTGCTTCCTCAGCGCCTCCAGCTCCTCCTCCGCCATGGCGCGGCCGTCCGGGGCGAGCAGCCGCCACCACGCTCCGCGGGCCCCGCAGCCTCGGCGCGCGCACGGCCGGCCCACTGCGCAGGCGCCCGCCGCGCCCAGGCAGCACCAATCGAGCCCCGAGCCGCGCGCGCCGCAGCCAGGGCGCCGGGAGAGGCCCGAGGGCGCGATCGCAGGCGGGCGGGGGGGGGGGCGGCTCCCGGGGCGGGGCGGGGCGGCTCGAGCGCCGCCTGCTCCCCCGCGCGCCCCCGGGCCTGCTGCTCTCGCCCCGCGGGACGACGGTCGGCAGCGAACGGGCCGCCGTCGCAGGTGTAGCCCCAGGTGCAGGCTGCGGGGGGCGCTGCGTGCTCGGTCGCGTTACCTCCGCCTGCCCTGGCGGCCGCGGGAGCTCGGGCACGCGGGGGGGGGGCGGGGGGCGGGGACCTCAGCTGTACCCTCCGGGGCTTCGGGGAGGTGGGGGTGGGGAGACCGCGGCCGCCCGCGCCGGGCCCCGGGAGCCACCGGGAAGCGGACGACGCCGACCCCCCCCCCCCACCCGCGGCATCCCCGGGGCTCGTGCGGGGCCGGAGGCTGTGCAGTTCCAGACGGCGCCCCCGGCCCCACGGACCCCGCGGACACCCGCCCCACCGACCCCGGTCCCCACGGGCGCCCCCGCCCCACCGACCCCGGTCCCCACGGGCGCCCCCGCCCCACCGACCCCAATACCCACGGCCGCCCCCGCCCCACCGACCCCAATACCCACGGGCGCCCCCGCCCCACCGACCCCAATACCCACGGACGCCCCCGCCCCAAGGACCCCGTCCCCACAGACGCCCCCGCCCTACAGACCCCAATACCCACGGACGCCCCCGCCCCACCGACCCCAATACCCACGGCCGCCCCCGCCCCACCGACCCCAATACCCACGGACGCCCCCGCCCCACCGACCCCAATACCCACGGCCGCCCCCGCCCCACCGACCCCAATACCCACGGCCGCCCCCGCCCCACCGACCCCAATACCCACGGCCGCCCCCGCCCCACCGACCCCAATACCCACGGCCGCCCCCGCCCCACCGACCCCAATACCCACGGCCGCCCCCGCCCCACCGACCCCAATACCCACGGCCGCCCCCGCCCCACCGACCCCAATACCCACGGGCGCCCCCGCCCCACCGACCCCAATACCCACGGACGCCCCCGCCCCAAGGACCCCGGTCCCCACAGACGCCCCCGCCCTACAGACCCCAATACCCACGGACGCCCCCGCCCCACCGACCCCAATACCCACGGCCGCCCCCGCCCCACCGACCCCAATACCCACGGACGCCCCCGCCCCACCGACCCCAATACCCACGGCCGCCCCCGCCCCACCGACCCCAATACCCACGGACGCCCCCGCCCCACCGACCCCAATACCCACGGACGCCCCCGCCCCACCGACCCCAATACCCACGGGCGCCCCCGCCCCACCGACCCCAATACCCACGGACGCCCCCGCCCTACAGACCCCAATACCCACGGACGCCCCCGCCCCACCGACCCCAATACCCCCGGACGCCCCCGCCCCACCGACCCCAATACCCACGGACGCCCCCGCCCCACCGACCCCAATACCCACGGGCGCCCCCGCCCCACCGACCCCAATACCCACGGGCGCCCCCGCCCTACAGACCCCAATACCCACGGACGCCCCCGCCCCACCGATCCCAATACCCACGGCGCCCCCGCCCCACCGACCCCAATACCCACGGACGCCCCCGCCCCACCGACCCCAATACCCCCGGACGCCCCCGCCCCACCGACCCCAATACCCACGGACGCCCCCGCCCCACCGACCCCAATACCCACGGGCGCCCCCGCCCCACCGACCCCAATACCCACGGGCGCCCCCGCCCCACCGACCCCAATACCCACGGGCGCCCCCGCCCCACCGACCCCAATACCCCCGGACGCCCCCGCCCCACCGACCCCAATACCCACGGGCGCCCCCGCCCCACCGACCCCAATACCCACGACGCCCCCGCCCCACCGACCCCAATACCCCCGACGCCCCCGCCCCACCGACCCCAATACCCACGGGCGCCCCCGCCCCACCGACCCCAATACCCACGGACGCCCCCGCCCCACCGACCCCAATACCCCCGACGCCCCCGCCCCACCGACCCCAATACCCACGGACGCCCCCGCCCCACCGACCCCAATACCCCCGGACGCCCCCGCCCCACCGACCCCAATACCCACGACGCCCCCGCCCCACCGACCCCAATACCCCCGGACGCCCCCGCCCCACCGACCCCAATACCCACGGACGCCCCCGCCCCACCGACCCCAATACCCACGGGCGCCCCCGCCCCACCGACCCCAATACCCACGGCCGCCCCCGCCCCACCGACCCCAATACCCCCGGATGCCCCCGCCCCACCGACCCCAATACCCCCGGATGCCCCCGCCCCACCGACCCCAATACCCACGGCCGCCCCCGCCCCACCGACCCCAATACCCACGGGCGCCCCCGCCCCACCGACCCCACTCTACAGCCCCACGGACGCCCCCGCCCCACCGACCCCAATACCCACGGACGCCCCCGCCCCACGGACCCCGGTCCCCACGGACGCCCCTGCCCCACGGACCTCCCCGCCCTACAGACCCGATCCCCAGAGAGGCCCCGCGCCCCCTGCCCCAGCACGCGCGGGCCCCCAGCGCCTCTGCCCCAGGTCACACCCTCAGCAGCCACACAGCCCCCCGCCCCCCCCCCCCCGCGTCCACCCCACGGTCACTCGGGCCTGTCGGAGGACCTCGTAGGAGCAGCTGCGCCCCGTGGGTGGGGGCATATGTGCGGAGGGGGCCGCTGTGCAAGGCTCGGCCTCTAACCCCTCGGACTCCTGCAGGTTTTCCACCTGCTGTTTTTTCTCCTGAGGCAAAATATGATATTTAGCATTTTAAACCGTTTTTAAGCGTGTGGTTCAGTGAACAGTGGCCTGCAGCCGGTCTCTAGGACTCTTTTCACCACCAAAGCTGCGACTATACCCGTTCAGTGTAGAGTCCTCAGTTTCTACTCTCTTAGGATTTTGACTACTTTATGTAAGTGGAGTCCTGCGTTATTTAGGTCCTTTCCTTCCGCTTCGCATCCCGTGTTCGTGTTCGAGGCTCATCCGTTGGTTGCATGAGTCAGAAATTCCTTCTTAGGGCTGAAAAAGCAAATGCCATTCTGTGCCTGCGCCACCTTTAGTTCATGCAAACTAAATGGACGTTTGGGGTTTTTCCACTTTGGGCCGTTGTGGCTACTGCTGCGGTGAACATCATCGGCTCGGAAAAATCTCAGTTCTTGCTCAGAGAGAACCCGGGTCTTTCGAATGAGAGAGATGTTGAATTTACCCGCGAACGAAGGCCTTTTCTCTAAGATGTAAACAGGCAAGAGTTAGGGGGGAGAGAGGGCACCCGGCTGGCCCCGCCGGTGGAGCGACCCTCTGAGGTCCAGCTCCAGGTTGGGTGTAGAGATTAAAGATCTTTAGAGGCACCTGGGTGGCGCGGTGGCTTCCGCCAGGGACCCTTGGATTTGGCTCAGGTGGTGAGCTTGGTGTCTGGGACTCTGTCTCCCTGTCCCTCCCCACTGTGCCCACCCACGGCCACTCTCTCTCTGTCTCCCCAAAGTAAATAAATCTTTAAAATAAAGTAAAAATCTTAAAAGAATTAAGGGGGGGTAGATTATAAAAATGCGAGTCTGGAGTTTTGAGGGTGTCACGGTGGAGACCCCTTGTAGGCCATCTGGGAGATGGGGGGGTGTAAAGGCTCACGTGATTCCGCTGGCTCCCCGGGCTCAGAGGACGCAGCCCCAGCTGGGCCCGCGTGGCACCCACCCGCGAGGAAGTGAGCGGACCAGAATCAGCAGACAGGCGTTCGCACCTTCCTGAAATCTAAAATGCATTCCCAATGGAGCAGATATTTAAAGTTTGGGGGGAAAAAAAATGAACCACAGAACTCCCGTGACCACTCCTTCCTGGAGTTCCGTGACTTTCGTGGGGACATGAGAGGACTCTCCCTCTGAGTGGGACCCCTCTTGGAATTATATCACTGTGACAGCTTTTCATTTTCCTCTGGGGTCATCAGCTCGTTCAGGTTTCCTGTTTCTTCTCAAGATAATTTCTGGAGAACCATTCTTTCAGCATGCTCGGGGTGTCACATTTTAAAAATGTAGAGCTGTCACATCTGGTTCTGTCTATTTTTAGGGATTGTTGATTCATTTATTTGCATTATTATTTTTCCTAATTATGCTTTCTCGCCATTTTTATGTTTTGCTGTTGTTCTCCGAAGAACTCAGTTCATCAGTATTCTTTTATAATTGATTACATTCTATTTTTATCTTTATGTCTTTTTTTTAAAAAAAAAGATTTAATTTCCTTGAGTGAGAGCCCAAGCACAAGCCGGGATGGGGGTGGGTGCAGAGGGAGAGGAAGAAGCAGCCTCCCCGCTGAGCAGGGAGCCTGATGCCAGGGCTCTCTCGAGGACCCCGGACACACAACCTGAGCCAAAGGCAGATGCCTAACTGAGCCACCCAGATGCCCCTATTTTTATATTTATTTCTACCTCTTTTTTATATTTTCATTGTTATTTCCTCTCAGGTTCCTTCAGGTGCTCTATTTATTTTTATCCTTTTAAAATAATGAGTACAAAAAAAAACCAAAATGAAATAAAATAATGAGTACATTTAAGGAATGAATTTGTCGGTAAAGTTTTGGTGTTTTCACCCACATACGGCGTTTTTAGTGTTCTCATTTTTTTTTTCTTTCTCGATGCCCTGAAACATTTTTCTGTTGTTTTGATGTAATAATAGTTTCTTTAAACCTTGATCAAATAATACATTTATATCATTTTTTTTTAAGTCAATGGTATATAAGGAGAGGCAGCTATTTCTGGTCCACTCCTACACAACCCAGTCTCAGATCCTCAAAGGTAAGCGCTTTGGCCTCTAGCGTGGCTCCCGAGGTGTACTTTCTAGTATTACGTTCATTTATTTTTTTATTTTTTTAATTTTTATTTATTTATGATAGTCACAGAGAGAGAGAGAGAGGCAGAGACACAGGCAGAGGGAGAAGCAGGCTCC